TCGCAACAAATGGAAACCGGAAGCTGACTACATGAGAAATAGATGATGCACAAGGTATTTACTATGATGAATCCACAGCTTAATAAACCATTCTCAAACCATTCTCAGAGTAATATAAAAAAGTAAAATGAAACAGCTCCAAACTGAGGAATGAGCATAAATAGATCATCTAAAGATACATAAACCATTTTGCCCCTGGTCATGTAATGACTGCAGAAAACCAGAAGATTGTTGATTAATAACATAGAATCATAGACTCACCCAGCAGCACCCTCCAGGTATAGCCTGGACTGTTCCTCTCTACTTTCTTTATCCATAGACCACCACCCCATTAGTCTGTTTAGACAAATCATAAATACCAAGTCAGCATTCTCTAGCTAAATTCCGAGTTCGTTTAATTGAACATTGACCTAAGAATGAAAGCCAAATATAGTTACCTGGAACTTTAATGAATCAATTTCTGGGCCTTCTTCAGATCTTGATTATTCCTATCTCTCCAAAGATGTCGACAGGCGAAGGGAAAAGCAGGCAATTCGACGGGTTGTTAGAGGAACTCACGACCCAATCAAGTTGCCGACACCCTCCTCCGTCTTCCGAAGCCGATGCGTCACCGACATCATCGTCACCAACATCAATCGGCGTTGGTTCTCGCTGCCATGAGAAGCCGTGTCATCGCGAATCCGGCCGTTGAAGCTCCATTTGAGGAGACTAGAGAAGAGACGGGACGTTTTGAGCTGGCGATTTCACCGTCAGAGCAGGCAGCCGAGATATCCGAATCGGGGACCCTTTCCTTTTCCTCTACGATAATTAGAACCACAAAATTAAAATGTCAGAACCCTATATCATAAGAAAGTACCAATAATTCCACATGCAAACCACCCAAACAGATCTTACCTTCATCGCTGCTACCATATTCATCGGCGACGTTCATCGTCGTCAGTTCTAGAATCTGTCACGCTATCGCAACTCAGGCGAGGAGAAGAGAGAAGAGAGGAGAATTCCCAATCTGACGGCTCCGCTAACAGAGCAGGCAGGCTGGGGGTACTTTGTCAGAATACTAATTTTTTTATTTTTTGGTTCCAATAATGAGTTTCATTTCATAAAGAGTTCTATTTTTTTTTTAGTCTAATGGTTAAATTTCAACTACCAAATTCAGTTGTCAGTTTTTGTTGGCCTAAGTTGGTATTTCTATTTACATTTTTCTGGTCATCTCATGTACCATTCTTGCAACACATTACCAATGTAATGCTTATTATTATGTTTGCAATATCTTATTATTATGGTTGCAAGATTACAACCCACTTATTTAATTTCAGCTTCCCTTATAAATACTAGAACTTATCAATTTTTAACGGTAAGTTAACAAAACAAATTAAACGTTTTCAATTGAGTTTATCTCATATACCATTCATGCAACACATTACCGATGTGATGCTTATTATTATGTTTGCAAGATTATATCCCATTTATTTAATTTCAGCTGCTCTTATAAACACTTTAACCGAACAATTTTAAACTTAAAATTACCAAAAATTAATACGTTTTCATTTGAGTTCATGTTCCAACATTTGTCAAATGATACGATTATGTTTAGTTTACCCGCCCAACGGGCCGGGCCCAGCGCTAGTATATAAGTAGTACTTTGAAGTGCGAAAGGGAGGAAAATTTCGATGGAGTATGAAGACTTGCAACCAACTTATTCGTATAGGCTGACTAAAGGAGCTTGGTCCCGCTCTCTGTGTACTGTCAGTGGCGGAGCCAGCTTATTAGTGGGCAGGTCCCCGGACCTATTTTGGGTTTGGTCTAGAAAGAAAGGCAAAAGTATATAAATATGTTTGTGGTGCACGTGGGCTTTGAGCCTTTTCCTTTTCAGAATTGTAATGGGTTCCTTTCTTCCACAAAGCTATACAAAGCCCTTTAGTTTTTGCTATGCACGTGGCAGCAATTTTATATTTTATTTATTTTTAGCATATTTTAATTAACTTACAGAATAGAAAGACTCCCAACAAATTGTTTAATCTTGAGATCTCAATCCCTAATTGCTGCTATCGAAGGATCAGGTCAGTAACCTTATGGTGAGTAAGTATGAGTAACCCGCCCACATCAGCATGACATCAACATCCTCTCTCTCCTGGAAAGCCTTTAATTCTCCCCACCTTAATCTTTGACGGACGATTTCTCACTCGTTTTAAGTCGAAATTTAATTTTTTTTGCACAGTTAGATCAGATTAATTGTGCTCTTCAAAATGATATCCACTTTGATATATTTTTCGAACAAAAAAATTGAGTCATTTTTTACCAGTCTATACCATATGGTATTGACTAGTATTGAAATAAGAGCATACTTATGGTTTGAAAAGCGTACCATGGTGGTATGACACAAAACAAAACTGTAGGATAGTTGAATATATGATAGTAGAAGTGGTCATTTACGACTTTTAACATTGTATACCATAAGATACCATAAGATAACACCCCATACCAGGGTGGTATTGTATGATATTGTGTGGTATTTTTTTGTCTTGTAATTTGTTCACCCAGAAATTTGTAGATCCAATAGGTCATGATGAACTCGTCCCTGCTGTGCAAACGTTTTAAAAAACGAATTAAAAACGAAGAAGATACCATATGGTATGCAGTTGGTACCGAGAGGCCAAAATTTTTTTTCCTCAAAAAATATTGAAAATTGATCTCATTTTGTAGAGCACGATGAACTCGTTCCATCTGTGCAAAAAAATTAAAATCCGAGTTAAAACGAAAAAGATATGAGTCAATTAAGAAAGCTAGTGAAAATAAAAATGACCTTTAATTCTCCATCATTAAATCTGAATTTTCTAAATGAAGGGTCCAGATTTGGTTATTGATGGGTGCATAACCATTTCTTAATTGACTCATATCTTTTTCGTTTTAACTCGGATTTTAATTTTTTTTGCACAGATGGAACGAGTACATCGTGCTCTACAAAATGAGATCAATTTTCAATATTTTTTTAGGGGAAAAAAGTTTTGGCCTCTCGGTACCAAATGCATACCATATGGTATCTTCTTCGTTTTTCATTCGTTTTTGAAAACGTTTGCACAGCAGGGACGAGTTCATCATGATCTATTGGATCTACAAATTTCTGGGTGAACAAATTACAAGACCAAAAAATACCACCAAATACCATACAATACCATCCTGGTACGGGGTGGTATTTTATGGTATCTTATGGTATACAATGTTAAAAGTCGTAAATGACAATTAATATACTTCTACTATCGTGTATTCAATCATCCTACAGTCTTGGTTTGTTCGTACCACCATGGTACGCTTTTCAGACCATAGGTATGCTCTTATTTCAATACCAGTCAATACCATATGGTATAGACTGGTAAAAAATGGCTCAATTTTTTTTTGTTCGAAAAATATATCAAAGTGGATATCATTTTGAAGAGAACAATTAATCTGATCTAACTGTGCAAAAAAAATTAAATTTCGACTTAAAACGAGTGAGAAATCGTCCGTCAAAGATTAAGTAGGGGAAAATTAAAGGCTTTCCAGGAGAGAGAGGATGCTGATGTCATGCTGATGTGGACGGGTTACTCATAGTTACTCACCATAAGGTTACTGACCTCATCTATTCCCTAACTTGAGCCTGTTCGTTGACTTACCTCTCCAACCAGCAACCAAAGGCCGGCCGCGTACTCTCACCCACTAGGCCGTCACCCGTCCGTCCGGCCGTCCAAACATGACAATTTACCCTAGGTCTGCGCTACTTGGTTCAATTGCCGCTTACCAACTCCCCTTCCAAGGTAATCTCCGTTCCCTACTTGTTCAACTGTTCTTAACCAAAAATGAAATCCCCTTTGGCCTATTAGCCTAATCAATTGCATTCGCAAGCTAATTAAAAGGCTAGCTTGCTAGAATATATGTTCTTATTATAAGAGGGAAGAATTGGTTGCTTGGATTTGAGAAAGACAATGACCAAGGATATTTAGGGACACGCAAAAGGATACTACACATAAGACAAATTTTTTGCAGTAACCTAGCAAATAAAGTTGGATTACAAATTACAATAATGAATTAAGCAAAAACCAATTGAATTTGCTAATTCGAGTGCTTTATTGAAACTCATATACGAAGCAAACCTTTCAAATAGATATATTTGTTCTAATTGATTCTTTGATTTTGGTTTTAATTTGTGTTTATTACTTTTGTCATGGGATATGTAGCTTTTCATAATGGAGAGATATTTTCCCAAAAAGGCCAAGACAATTCCAAATGTTCTGGAGCATGATGTAAGTGAGTCAAGAGAGGCTAGACATGATCCTAATTCAACACCACGACCGACAATGTCACAACATCTCCCGGTAAATCATTCTAAGCCCAGCTTTCCATATAAAGAAAGTGAATTCGATGTGAGTACTTTGAAAGCTGATCCGGGTTTAAGAGAACAACTTTCATGCTTTCATCCTAATGTTTGGGATATGGTCAGAAGGTACTACCTTCAAAAAGGTCCTTGTCAGCCTGATCATAGTTTTCCATCTAAAGATATCGGGGGAAGACTTCGCAGTTTTAAATCTTGTTGGTACAAGAAATATCATTGGTTGGAATATAGTATTGCAAAAGATGCTGCATACTACTTGCATTGCTATTTGTTTAGGAGTGATGATGGCAAGAAGGGTGGAGGTACTTCTTTCATTTCTACTGGTTTTAAAGGTTGGAATAGGGGAGATGATGCTCTTGAGAACCATGTTGGTCTTGTTAATAGTGAACACAACAAAGCTGTTAGAAAGTGTGAAGACTTGTTAACACAGGCACAAAGCATTGGAATTTCTTTATGCAAACAATCAGATCAAGCAAAGATGGATTATAGAACTCCTTTACAAGTTTCAATTGACTGCATCAGACATTGTGTACGCCAAGGTCATTCACTTCGAGGGCATGATGAATCAGAATAATCAAAGAATAGGGGGAATTTTATTGAACTTCTGAAATTTCATGCTCGTGGTAGGCAGGATATGGAACGTGTTGTGTTGAAAAATGCTCCAAAGAACTTACAAATGATTTCTCCAGACATACAGAAGGATATTGTCCATGCAATTGCATCTGAAATCACCAAGGAAATCATATGTGACATTGGAGATGATGTCTTTTCCATTTTGGTGGATGAAGCTCGGGATACATCAATCAAAGAGCAAATGGCTATCGTTTTACGCTATGTGAATGAAGAAGGATATGTGATGGAGAGATTTATTGGGATTGCTCATGTTGCAGATACTAAAGTCTTGACACTTAAAATGGAAATTGAATCCATGCTTGTGGCAAATGGGTTGAGTTTGTCAAAAATAAGGGGACAAGGTTATGATGGGGCTAGCAATATGAGTGGGGAAATTAATGGACTCAAGACTTTGATTTTGGCAGAAAATTCTTCTGCATATTATGTTCATTGTTTTGCTCATCAGCTTCAGTTAACACTTGTTGCAGTTGCTAGACATCATGGCGATGTGGGTGGCTTCTTCAAGGCTGTGAGTGATCTGATTAATTTGGTTGGAGGATCTTCTAAACGAATGGATAAAATTCGAGAATGTCAAGCTGCTAAAGTTGTTGAGGCTTTATGTCGTGGTGAACTTGAGACTGGACGGGGGTTGAAACAGGAACTTGGCCTCAAAAGGCATTGTGATACTCGTTGGTGATCACATTTTGACACACTTCTTAAATTGACTCGAATATATTCTTCTCTTATTGAGTGTTTGGATATCATTAGATGGGAGGGAAATCCTGATGCAAAAGCTGATGCATCTTGCTTGTTGAGGTTAGTCCAAAACTTTGATTTTGTATTCATCTTGAAAATGATGATTGGAGTGCTCTCAATTACCAGTGAGTTGTCTTCAACTTTGCAAAGGAAAGATCAGTATATAGTGAATGCTATGCATCTTGTTCGTGGAGCTAAGTTTAGATTGCAGGAGATGAGGGATAAAGGATGGGATTCTCTTCTTGATAGTGTTTTTTCATTCTGCAATAAGGAATCTCTTCCCATTGTCAACATGGATGATCTATACTTTCCTCTTGGAAGACTAAGGAGAAAATCACAAGAAATCACCAATCTTCATCATTACAAGGTTGAGCTATTTTATACAGTTGTGGATATGCAGCTACAAGAGCTGAATAGTCGCTTTGATGAGATTAACACTAAATTGCTATGTTGGGGGTGTCGCTAAGAGACTCCCCGCAGAGACTAAGTAATACCGCGTCCAATCGACAACGGATGACGCTCTAAACCCGCTACGAGTATATAAAGGTATGAAACCCACCAAGGAGGGGGACTTCTTCCCTCTCTCCTCACTTTCCACTTTCTACTATCTCTCTACACTTTATCTCTCTATCTACTCTCTCAACTCTCTCCACAAACATACACTGACTTGATCGTCGGAGCTTAATCCGGGGGGCAACCCCAGCTCTTTCACAGGTTCTCTCCTTCCCGACGAGATCGGACGAACGGATGACGAGTCGACCCACACCAACAAATATCATTGTTCGTGTCCTGATCTAGATGGCACAAACAATTGGCGCCCACCGTGGGGCAGATTTCACATTCGTTTGCTTGATTTTCGAAGGAGGCGAGACCCAAAAGACAAAGGGGAATGAGAGGGACGGCTGGCGGACCTTGTAAAGGGATCACCTTTCCCCCACCAACTCCAAGCCATGGCAACACCTGGAAAAAGAAAATGAAGAGTTCTCACATCTACATTGGAGGGACCAACAGAGAGAAGAAAAGAAAATGACTGACGGGCACACTCCCCGAGGCAAGCTTTTAGCAAGTGGGTTACATGCAGGAGATTCCGCCACCGCCCGCGTCGCACCAGGCGCGACCCACCAGCCTGCGCGGCCCGCGCCGCGCACTCCACTAGCCCGCGCGGCCCAACCAAGTCGCGGCCTGCGCGCGCACACACCACCAGCCCGCGCGGCCCAACCAAGTCGCGGTCCGCGTCTCACACTCCACCAGCCCGCGCGGCCCAACCAAGTCGCTCCTCCGCGCGCGCACACACCACCAGCCCGCGCGACCCAACCAAGTTGCGGCCCGCGTCGCACACTCCACCAGCCCGCGTTGCACCAGGCCCAATCCTTCATGCGGCCCTGACTCCACTTGCGGGCCCGCGCCAAGCTCCACACTGCGTCAAAAATATTATTGTCGCCGCCAGTCTTCGAACCCGCGCCACTCTTCCGCCGGACAAGCATCCTTACTAGCACGCTACAAGCAACCCTTATGATTTGTCTCCGCGCTCAAACATATACAACCTTTTTCCCGCGCAACAAAGTGAAGCTGCAGAGCGCAAAGCATCACAAAAATCATGCGCTTGGTTGGGGGTTCGAACCAGGGTTTGATCACTCGCGTGCAAGCAACATCACCAGCATGCTACCAGCGAGCCTTGTGTTTCAATGATGCGGCGTCTGAATTTTAACATTCGCGCCCACTCAGTTCGCAAGAACAAAAAATTAGCAATAGTCACGCACTATTCGCGCCCACTCAGTTCGCAAGAAAAAAAAATTAGCAATAGTCACGCACTATTCGCGCCCACTCAGTTCGAAAGAACAAAAAATAGCAATAGTGCAGCACTATTCGCGCCCATTCAGTTCATAAAGAACAAAAAATAGCAATAGTTCCGCACTATTCGCGTCCATTCAGTTCATGAAGAACAAAAAATAGCAATAGTCCAGCACTATTCGCGCCCATTCAGTTCGAAAGAACAAAAAATAGCAATAGTCATGCACTATTCGCGCCCACTAAGTTCGACGGAACACAAAGTAGCAATAATCATGAATTATTTGCGCCCACAAAGTAAAAAAAAAAATGGCAGAGAGGAGAGCCCAGCCGCTACTCACCATGCCAGCCCACACTCGCGCGGCCCTGGCCCCGCCCAACTCCATCTCGCGGCTCATTTTCACATTGCCAGCCCACACTCGCGCGGCCCAGGCCACCGCCCGCTTAAATCCATCCGATCCGCCTAACAAGCCCGCGCCACTCTCCGCGTCAAAAAAATTATTGACGCTGCCGAGAATTGAACTCGCGTCCTTCCTCCGCCAGACAAGCAACATCACCAGTAGGCTACATTCGCGCCTACTGATGCTTAGGCGCAACACTCTTATTTCAACAACTCTTCAAGCCCCGACCCACAAAGCAACCGCGCCAAGTACAACTTGCGGCCCAAGTCCAACGCCCGCCCGTCCTTGCTCCACTCCGCGTCAAGCCCGTCCTTGCTCCACTCCGCGTCAAAAATATTATTGCCGCCGACAGGAATTGAACTCGTGTCCTTCCTCCGCTAGACAAGCAACATCACCAGTGGGCTGCATACGCACCATGTGATCCATAGGCGCAACACTCTTATCTTAACAACTCTTCGAGCCGCTTCGCCAACATAAAGCTAAGTACTCTATACCTCTATCATTATTAAATATTGAAATATTTCACTTTCATGAGCGTTAATGGCGCTAAGTTAAGAACCCCGACGAGGAGAACTCCAAACGGAGGGTTAAAAACCCCGACGAGGAGAACTCCAAACTGAGGGTTAAAAACACCCCGACGAGGAGAGCTCCATGAAGAATCTACAATGGGTGAAGGCTACACGCCTTAATGAAATACACCAACTGGGGGGCAAGACGCAAGAAGCTGGCACCGCGTCAGTCAAACGCGCCACCAGCTGGGGGGCAACTGGGGTACATAGGGCCCCACCCAAAATTACCGACGAAGATTTAAAAAATAAAATATAAGCTAGTGATGAGTTAAAACTCACCACCAGCTTGGGGGGCAATTGTTGGGGGTGTTGCTAAGAGACTCCCCGCAGAGACTAAGTAATATCGCGTCCAATCGACAACGGATGACGCTCTAAACCCGCTACGAGTATATAAAGGTATGAAACCCACCAAGGAGGGGGACTTCTTCCCTCTCTCCTCACTTTCCACTTTCTACTATCTCTCTACACTTTATCTCTCTATCTACTCTCTCAACTCTCTCCACAAACATACATTGACTTGATCGTCGGAGCTTAATCCGGGGGGCAAACCCGGCTCTTTCACAGGTTCTCTCCCTCCCGACGAGATCGGACAAACGGATGACGAGTCGACCCACACCAACAAATATCATTGTTCGTGTCCTGAGCTAGATGGCACAAACAGTATTCATCTTGAAAATGATGATTGGAGTGCTCTCAATTACCAGTGAGTTGTCTTCAACTTTGCAAAGGAAAGATCAGTATATAGTGAATGCTATGCATCTTGTTCGTGGAGCTAAGTTTAGATTGCAGGAGATGAGGGATAAAGGATGGGATTCTCTTCTTGATAGTGTTTTTTCATTCTGCAATAAGGAATCTCTTCCCATTGTCAACATGGATGATCTATACTTTCCTCTTGGAAGACTAAGGAGAAAATCTCAAGAAATCACCAATCTGCATCATTACAAGGTTGAGCTATTTTATACAGTTGTGGATATGCAGCTACAAGAGCTGAATAGTCGCTTTGATGAGATTAACACTGAATTGCTATGTTGTGTGGCATGCTTAAATCCAGATGATTCATTTGCTGACTTTGACAAGGAAAAATTGTTGAAGCTTGCTACCTTTTATCCTAATCAGTTCTCCAAAGATGATATCTCACATCTTGATCTTGATCTTCATCAACTAGATGCTTATATATTTGATATGAAGACTGTGGAAAGGTTTGCAGGATTAAAGGGAATTGCTGAGCTTTCTAGGGAAATGGTTGTGTCAAAAAAACATCGAGTGTTCCCACTGGTGTATAGACTTCTGAAGTTGGCATTGTTGCTACCTGTTGCCACTGCAAGTGTTGAAAGACCATTTTCTGCAATGAACTTCGTGAAGAACACGCTTCGGAATCGAATGAGTGATGAAATCATGAATGATTTTTTAGTTGGCTACATTGAGAGCGACATCCTCGATAGTTTAGATGATGAATGTATTTTACATACTTTTCAGAATATGAAAACACGTCGTGGGTCTTTGTAAAAAATTAATATAAGTTATGTTATTATTATTTTTAGTTGTTGGACCCATCTTAAGGAAAATTCCTAGCTACGCCCACTACAAAATTGATAGGTTTAGGGGACGGAAAATTTCGTCTCCAAAACATGGGTTTTTCGTCTCCAAATCTTTTGGAGACGAAAATTTTCGTCTCCACGAGTGGTGCCTATAGAATTGCACGACTTGGTCTGAGTTTGGCCCTTTTTCTCATTGCACCAGCCATCCCTATAAAAAAATGAATAAAGTCCCATGCTTAGAATTATATACTGCGAACAGAACACAAGTAGATGTATATGGGATTAAGCAGCACCACATACATGATTTAGCAGTTAAACATTTTACAAGCCTCGTTGGTTGCTTAATTAACAGGGAAGTTGAATGCCCTTATATTCTTATAATTCCACTGAAATCTTTAAACCATGATGTGGGCCTTGTTAATGGATTGGAATTTACCAAACCAATTTGAATCTCAATGCACTAAACCCAAAGCATGATGTAACTTGTTACGGGAGTGAAATAATCAAACCAAATTGAAATCCCTTTAATTCCACAGACATATTTGAACGATCACCACCTGGTTCTTCCAAAACTCTATCTCCACCAGCTCACAACACAAACAGGGGAAAGTCAATTGAAACAGGGGAATAAACACAAGACAGGGG